AAAAAAAAAAAAAAAAAAAAGCTGAGGAGATGGTCACTTTCAATGAAACCAACCTGGGGGGAGCGATTCAGAAACTAGAAGCCCATAGTTCTGAGATCTCTGGTAGTGACACAAAGGTTGTATGATTTTGATTTCCTGTTTTCTTGGAGGATGGCTCAGGCTTGTCTGTCAGAGGGTCACTCTAGGGACAGAGTATGTGTTCCGGGCAGCAGGGCAGGAAAGGACGGAAACAGTACACTGGTCTGAGATGCAGCCCTACAGCTTCAGACTGGGACAACTATCTGCTGCCCAGACACTGGGGGTTCATCCCAATCCATACTGAAATCTCCAAAAATGAGCCAATTCTTTGAAAGAAGCCAAAAGTTCTAAAGCAACTAAAAAATAAACAAGAAACAGACAAAATCCCTCCATGCACCCTTATGTTCACAAATGAACCAAATATACAGTTTTAATTTAAAACCAAAGAAACAAGTTCTAGTTTTCAACACATACCTGCACTTAGTACATGCCACACAGTGCTCTAAGTTCCTTGTATCTATTAACTCATTTAATGTTCATGGCACCTCTGAGGTAAGAAATATTACCCTGTGTTGCTGTAAGGATGGGGCAGAGGTGGGAACCCAGCCCTGACAGGTGGGCTCAGGGTCAGGCTGCTGGCCACATGGGTGTTTTACGGAGTTATGTGAAATGCCTGCTCTTAGACTGGTGCAGTGGTGGCAACTGGGCACACCAGTTGAGTGGAATGCAGCAGGCCTGGCAAGTAGGTACCTCTGCCACTAGGTACTGGATGAGCAGCCCTGCCATCTGGGTGTCCCAAGTCACTGTGTTTACCCAAGGTGATCGGTCACCTACTTAGAACCCACTGAGGCCTCAGAAATAGGGGGTACTACAGGGCACCACAGAATAACCTATGCTGGTACAGGATATGGAGATGTGTTACGATTTGTATCTGGATGTCCTCCCCAAAGCCTCATTCACTCATAGGTGGGGCTTTGGGGAGGTGTTAAATCAAGGAAGCATGATACTTATCCACTGATTAGTCTACTGATGAATTTACAGCTAAATATAATTTGGGCTGCCTGTGGTGGTACACACCTATAGTCCCAGCACTTGGGTGGCTGAAGCAAGAGGATCCTCATGAGTTCGAGGCCAGCCTAAACTACATAGCGAGGCCTTGTCTCATAAAACAAAACAAAACAGAACAGTCATCTGGAAGGTGAGGCCTGACGGAGGAGGTGGGTCATTGGAGGTATGGCCTGAAAGGGTCTATCTCCCTCCCTCCTCCATTTACCCTTCTCTCTGCTTCCTGCAGTCATGTCATGGGCTCTTTCTCTCTGCCATGCCGCCTTGCCTTGGAGCCAGCTGACTATGGACTGGAAGCCCTTCAGACTGTGACCCAACATAACCCTCTCCTTTAAGCTGTGGGTGTCAGGTACTGTGTCTCAGCAATGAGAAACTAAGATGCAGAACTCACATCGAAATTTTGCTAGCAGGGTGACATGGGGAGGTCACAGGGCTGCCTCCTCAGGGAACCTCCTGGGTGGCAATAAAGTAGGCAGTAATGCTCTGACAAGGTACTTCCCGATTGTGACTGATGGCCAAACTAGAGATGAAAGCTTTGGTAAAACCCCAAGCCCTTTTATGTGTGTGTGTGTACACGTAGCCCAGGCTTCCTCTGTCCTATTTTCTTAAGTACCAACCTCAAGTGACCTTCCACCCACCTGGCTCGGCAGAAAACCAAAACAACCCTGAGCCTTCGCCTTGTCCCCGAAGTCCAGCTGGGGCAGGAAGGGGAGATATCGGGGCCAGGCAGGTTCTTTGACACAAGTCCACTCCATGGTCGTGTATGCAAAGAGACCTTAGCCCCAACCCAATGAGGAAACTGAGCCTGGGGCGGAGGTGGTCTTGCAAGGCTAGGGTCAAGTTGGTACAGAAGCCTGAAGGAATTCTGTCGGCCAGCCCTCACAGCCCAGGCCACCACTGCCAGCCCTGAGGACCAACTGCCTCGTACAGCCTGGACCTGACCACAGGCCCACTGCCTCAGAGCCCTGACCCGGACCTTGTCTGCCCTGGGCACCCACTGCTCTTCAGAATCCTGGCCTGACCCGCCCGTGGACCTGTGGCTCCTCAGAGCCCTGGCTTGACAAATGATAGCGTTGTATATCCACTGTCTGCTCAGGGACCTATACAGCCTGCCCCGGGGAGCGTGGCCCGGCCACTGCCTGTCCGCGGACTTACTGCCCTCGTAAGTCTTCCTCTGCCCCTCAGACCGTGGCTTGTGCCCTGTCCGCCCGGGAATCCACGGCCTTAGTTCCTGGGGCGTGCCAGCCGGCAAATCCCGGGGTCCCCACGGCGCCTCCTGGTGTCCCTCTGCCCCGCCCGGGTCCCAGACATCCGATCACGAAACTCACCCTGCTCCCCGGAGGAACCAGCCATCTCTGGGAATCCCTGACCCGCGCCACAGACGTTTCCCAGAATCTGATGCAACCGCGCCCCGGAAGTCCCGCCCACCCCCGCCGCCTTCCGGATACGCCCTGTCGCTAGGCAACTGGGCCGGGAAGCCGCAGCGCGGGGCATGCTGGGCGTCAAGCTGGGCGCCCTGTGTGGCTAGGAGGTCCAGAACCTGTCAGGCTAGCTGGAAGATACGTGTTGCCACGCTCCGACCGTGCCCAGCGGACAGTTCAGCCCGGGAACGGGCCGGGTCAGGAGGTGGCAGGAAGAGGAGCGAGAGGAAGGTGTGGCGGGCAGCCACCCCGGGCACCCGGCATCCTGCAGATGACCCCAGCGGACGACCAGTCCAGGATAAACTCTGGGCAGCGTCAGAGTACCGGGCTGTGTTGTGCCCAGGACGGGGCTCGAAGCACTGCGAGGGCTCTGGAAGTATCCAGTAAACAAAGCCCAGGGTAGCAAACATGTTGAAAGGCTCAAGGAGCAGCCAAGACGGATCTGTGCTGTAGAAACACCATTCTAGCGCCGGGCGTGGTGGCACACGCCTGTAATCCCAGCACTGGGGAGGCTGAGGCAGGAGGATCCTTGCGAATTTGAGACCAGCCGGGCTACCAAGTGAGCTCACGGCCGGCCTGAACTGCACAGGGAGACCCTGTCTCAAAAAGACAAAACAAAACAAAACAAACAAACAAAAACACCCCACTATTTTAACAAGCTACCAAGTGGACGTGGTGAATCCAGAAAAGCCCAATAAAAGCAAGCGCTTTAATAGTGAACAGAGGGGAAAGGGTGGCCTGGGCGGGCGAAGTGGGCAGGCAGTCTGAGCAATCCCTAGGAGGCACTAAACAGGTAGGGTGTGGGGAGAAGTGGAGATGAAATTGGAAGAGACCGAACCAACCTCTTGGCCCGAGAGTCTGGCAGGTATTGGCACATTCGCTTTACTTAAGAACAGGAAGCTGAAGTTGCTTATCAAAGGATGGAGATAAGCAGGTTGATCTGTGCATATTTCCAGAGACTGGTGCAGAATTTGATGTTTGTGGTAAGCGAGAAGGAGGGGAAGGGTGCAGTCCTTCCCATCCCCCAATCTCATTGCCTATCTGTGTGTTTAACCACTTTCCAAGGGTACCCCCAGCTGACAATATTCTGGCAGAACACAGGACTGATCTCCCCTTGTGATTTATACAGGATTTATTTAGATTCTATTTAGAATCTATTTAGGGGTACAGCCCTTGCAAGGCTGGGGTTCATGAAGTTTCCAACAGCACTGAAACTAAGGAAAAATTCACTCAGATCCAATATATCCAGGACGCTATTTAACATCACAGTCCTTTGTGTACCCACCCAAAACAGAAGAAATGCTATTTAGGGAACATAATTTTACTATGTAAAGAAAAGTTATTAAAATCATCTAATCACATTTGCTAAACTGTACAATTTTGGGTGAACAAATATCTTGGCGTCAATATTTTTTAAAAGCTTAAAGCACTTCACAAGGTTTTTGTGATTACCACCATGCCCCACCCTTGCTAATCTTGGCTTAGCAGAGGGGTTCAAGTCTAATGAAGAGGACCTCAGGGATGGCCTGAAAGCACTGATCTGTTCCTGGAGCCTGGAATAGACCAGTGTCCTCAGCTGCTTAGACTGACCGGCAAGTGGCATGGTTGCGGACTTAGTCATATATATTTATGGAGCACCGTGTCTGCACCACACCTACTTGTAGGCCACGTGGGCATCACAAGGCAAAGGGACAACACAGACGCTTCTCTTCTTGGATCCTGGGCATGAGGCTTCAAGGACTGTGAGTGTCCTTGGCACCACAAGTGGGGTGCCCACTGCCCTGCTCACAACCCTCTGGCACTCCTTTTCATCACACAGGTCACAGGCACCTCCTTGGCCAGGAAGCACTCTGACTGCACGCATTGAGCTTCATATAGAATCTATACAGAGAAGAGATGCAGCCCTGTTTGGGGTTCTTGAAGTTTCCAAGTGGGGTCAGCACTGGGGAAGCTCAGATTGATTTACCCAGGACGCTATCTAGCATCAGTTCTGTGCCAAAAGATACTTTGGGTGTCTGCGTGTCTCCTGAAGACGTTTTTGACAAATAAGTTGCTTCCAGTAGTTTGCAAAGACATGTCTAACTCCAGCTGTGGAGGACAGCCATGAGTTTAGAAATAGAAGTGTTCCTTCAGAGCTTAGCCTCCACTTGAGGAATATATTATGGTGGTACTGTCTTAACATTTCCTGAACTTTTCTACTCATATATCTGTTTCACTTTCTTCAAATTCAATAAGCCATACAAACATCTTCCGTGTACTTCGGAGAGCCTCATGTCCAATGTGATGATGGCATATTAATTACTGAAAGAAAAACCAGAAGGAAGAATTTGTTTACATCTTTGCAATGTTCTGGAAAATTGTAGCACTTGCTGTATTTCTGCGGCTCAGGGTGTGGGAGGCTCTGTGCAACCCCAGCTAATCCCAGAGGTGAGGAGAGCGAGGTTGGGCAGGGACCTATCAGACTCTCATAGTGCCTGCTGCTCATCCTTTATTTGAGGACCATAGAACACCCAAACTCAACATAGTTGGCAGTCTTCCTGGGAGAAGGAACAAGAGGCCCAGGAATCAGAAGTCAGAAGCCTCGGGATGAATAGTCTGAAGGTTGTCCCTGCCCTTTCTTTCTCCAGCATCCTCACTGGGTTCATAGTGCTGTCCAAACCACGTTTGGAGGAAGAAATGCCATGCACCTGAGAAGAAAGTTAGTCCATGAAGTTTTAGGTATGAATATTGCCCTAAGCTTGCTGCCAACTCCCAGGAAGTCTTAAGAGAAGCCTGTCACAGAGTGAGCTGTGGCTACCGAAAGGCATCTCCACATCCTGACCCCTGGTACCTGTGACTGTGACCTTACTTGGTCACATGGCCATGAGTTTAGAAATAGAAGTGTTCCTTCAGAGCTTAGCCTCCACTTGAGGAATGTATTATGGTGGTATTGTCTTAACATTTCCTGAATTTTTGTGCTCATATATCTCAGTTTTACTTTCTTCAAATTCAATAAGCCATACAAATGACAGCTCTTTACAGATGTGAACAAGTTAAGGCAAGGACACACTAGGTCAGTGTGGGACCTAAACTGAATGACTGGAATCTATTTAAGAGAGACACAGAGAGGGGAGGATGAGGGCAGAGATATGTACTATGCAACACTGAGGACTTCCAGAACCATGAGAAACTGGAGAGAGGCAGGAAGGACCCTCCCCGAGAATTTCTGAAGGACCAGCCCTGCCCATTCCTTGAGTTTGGAGATCTGGCCTCCAGAATAATCAGACAATAGATGATGTGTTTTTTATGCCCAAGTTTGTGATCATCTGTTATGGCAGCCCCAGGACACTTATAAAAAGCCTTTCCCCTTTTGTGCCTCAATTTCCCATTAGTGGTTGTTGTGGTTTGTGTCTGCATGTCCCCCCAAAGCCTCATGCAGTCATGGGGTGGGCTTTTAGAGTTTATGATTGATCCATGATCCAATGCTGGGATTATGGGTGTGAGTGCTACACCCACCCTGGGGTGGATAGTTTATATATGTAAGGGAGAGAAAGAGGCTGCTTGCCGCCACTCCTCCCTTTTGCTCTTGTTGATTTTGCTGTTTTCTGCTGCAGTGAATGGTTACCCTCTGTCATGTGCCACTCTGCCTTGGAGCCAGCTGGATATGGGCTGAAACCTCCACAAACTGTAAGCTAAATAAACCTTTCCTCCCTTAATTTTGGACGTCAGGTATTTTGTCTTAGCAACGAGAGAAAAGTAACCAAGACAGTGGTCTAAACCTCCAGAACTTCAGTCTATTCTAGCACAGACTCTTCAGCTCTCATAAGCAGAACACAGAGTACAGCACAAGCTAAATGTGAGGTTACAGATAGGAAGGCCTGGGTTGTCTCCCACCCACTTCTGGAGCCCCTGGGACTTCACTACACCATCGCCTGAATGCTCAGTGCCAGGTGGGACCCTGAGACACCATAAGGAATTCTCAAGAGGGATGGATCCAAATCCCAGTGTGATACTTACAGGGGTGCCATCTCAATATCCTCCACTAAAATCAGAAAGGAGAGACAGAGTTAGACATGACTTCTTTGAAAGGAAATACCACTCACAATAGACAGAGTAGTTGTGTTTCCGGAACTTGGCAACACCTGGGTGAACATCTGGGAGATTCACAGGGCCCCCCCTCCCTCAGGTCCCCCTGTTTCCCGAATGGTGCTTGCTGCCATTACAGTTGACCAGCCTGAGATCCTGGTGGCTGAGGAATTTGTTATAGAGGTTTCCAGCTCAGATCCAGGAGTTGCTGCTGCAGTGAGAAAAAGAAGCTGTGAGCCCCATTGTGAGCTACAGAGTTTCAGATTTCCTTTTCTCATGGATGGACCCAGCTCTAATTTACCTGTCCTACTGTAGCAGTAGATGACAACAATGACAACGATGACGATGACAACAGCGATGATGATGACTATGATGAGAACAACCACAAAGTAGACAACCGAGTACCAGTTTGAGTTTGCTAGAAGAATGCAGAATAGTGTTGAGGCAGAGGTGAGCATGGCTGTCCTTATCAGAGTGGCAGCCATAAGAGAGTCCCCGTTCCCCATCACCACCTCTCCAGCCCTGAAACTCAGAGGCTGTGAGACCTCACTCAGGTCCTTGGAAGGGGCAGGTGGTTTCTCTTACCAGAACTGGAGCAAGAGGCTTTGCTCCCCAGAATGGTGTCCCACGTGAGTGATCCTGGCCAAGGGATCTGCCTATTCCCAGGACATAGCCTGGAGGCTTACAGGTGGGAGAAGATTGGCTGGCCCTGGCCACTGTGTAGGAGGGACAGGGCAGGGCCAATGCTGGGGAGATATCTGGGAGACTGCTCAGGAATCCTGCCTCACCCTTGTGAAATCACAGCACAGGCAGAGCCGAGGATGCATAGCATTGCACATTTGTTTATTTGTTGTCTTGGGTTGCTTTTATTACAACGGCAGAAATGAGTAGTGACTACACAGACCGTATGGTGTCCAGAAAAGGTCTGTGCACCTGGATTTGAGATGAGTCATCTACTTACCTGGCTCTTGATTCATCTTGGCACATATGGTGTTGGCCCTGGGATGGCATGGCTCAAGGACAGCTCTACCTTCAGAACAACTGGGAGGAAACATTGAGTGTCACTTGTGCCCAGCCACACTCAGCTCATAGTGTCCTTATCATCACCCATAGGGCAAGGGTTGGAAGGTACCAGCCTCCACCCCAGGATGGCCCTGCCATACTTTGGTAATCTTGCCCAAACAGATCCAGTGAGAGTACAGCATGGGAGTTGTCTGTGACATTTAGGAGGACAGCTTTTCTTTCTCTCTTCTGGTAGAGCATTTGATCATGAGGACCAGACTTGCTGTTCCTCTATCAAGGTGGAGGTCAGTCCAGAGACAAAGCCAGTTGGTAGAGAAGGGGAAAGACAATCAAGTTCAAAGAAGCCACAGGCTTGATTAAACCAGACCTAAAGGCTTGAACTCATCAAGTACATGTTCTGAGTTATATTTAAAAATACAAGTGGTGTCTAAACCAATGTCTCACAAATGCAATCCATTTTGCAAGTGCTCTTATTACTATGAATATCTCCCTAACATGTCCCCCCGCAATGCATGCCCGCCTGAAGCCTCAGAATTTTATCTCATCTGGAAAGAGGTTAGAACTCTCTCACCCCAGAACTTTCCATGGCTCCCTCCTTCTCTTCCTCAAGACCACTTCCTCAGAGTGGCTGTTCCTGGCCACTGAGTCTAATAGCAGACCGTCATGACCCTCTAAGCCTCAGGGTCTGGTCACTAGCTGGTCTTATACTGTATGAGCACCTCCATTGTGTGTCCTAACTGTTAGGGCTTCAAGGCCTTGCAATCCCACCTGAAGATCATAATTTGGTGGCATTATTAGGAGGTGATGGAAATAGGAGGTGGGGCTTTGTTGCAGGGAGTGGGTCATGTGATACGACCTCAGGGCACTGCCTCATCCTTGCCCCTTCTTCTCAGGCTTTTTCCTTCCCTGCTTCCTGGTCAGTAGAAAGTGAATAGCGTTCCTCCATCACACCTTTCCATCATGATGTTTCTGCCTCATCGCAGAAACAAGAGAGCCAGCTGACTGACAGCTCTGAAACCATGAGGCAAGATAAACCTGTCCTGCTTCAAGATGTTTTTCTCAGGTATTTGGTCACAGTGAGGGAAAGCTGACTAGCATATGAGCATTGTCTCCAGGCAGGCCACCAGGACATAGCCAAGTGGTATCCCTATTTTACAGATGGGGCTCCCGAGGTTGGTGGAACTATATAAATGATCCAAAGAAAAAGAAGTGGTAGAGGAGGTTGAGGACCCTGCCCACTGGTACCTGCTGCACTGGAAGCAGTGTTCCACACAGTTTTCTGAGTCGCAGTAGTAGCCTTTCCTGCACTGGCACTGCCGATCAGCAGTGAAGGAACAGTTTGAAACCACCTCCTGGTCTGTTAGGGAGAAGGCTGAGAGTCAGTCATCAGGGTGGGAGTCTGACCCATGGTACACTGGCCACAATACAGTGAGGCCTCCTCCATGGGCTCTTGACCCAGGGCAGAAAATCTGCCCTTACCTCGTTTTCTAATACAGGAACCAAAGAAAGAGAACAACCAGGCCCTGTTGTCTGTGACCTGGTGAATCTGTGGAGAAACCAGCAGGAGTCTTGCAGTCTGGGCTGGGATCTTTGTCTCTCTCTCTGTCTCTGTTTCTGTCTGTCTGTCTGTCTGTCTGTCACCTTGGACAGAATCCGGGCCTCAGATAAGCTGGGCAAGTGCTCTGCCCTAGCCCCAGCCCTATAAGCTCTTTTCTTACTGATGTGCAAACCTCTTTATGTGTTCTGGACACTGGCCTAGTGTGTCTTTTAGTATCACAAATGTATTCTCCCACTCCATGACTTAACATTTTAAGTTTGGGTGTCTTGATGAATAAGAACATGAGTTCTAATGTAGTAGTACTTATTAAACTCTTCCTCGGGTTTGTGACTTTTATAACTTACACAAAAATTATTTGCTTCCTTAAAGACATAGATACTCAATTTTCCTCTTGCAACTTTACTTTCTTGTGTGGACTTTAATGCATCACCTCTGTAGTGGCCTCTGTATGGGCTCTGCGCTATCTCACTGGTCCCCCATTCCAGCCCTGCATGGATTTCAGGTCATCCTCACTGTCTCCTTACACAGAGCTGCGACTTCAGGGTAGGCCTAGTGTCATCTGGGCTGTGGTCGTCAGGAGTGTTGTGGCAACTGTTACCTTCTCATTTCAAGAAAATTTTTTGTTTGAAATCTCATTAAGAAAACACTGACTCACCCGGGCGTGGTGGCACACGCCTGTAATCCCTGCATTCTGGAGGCTGAGGCAGGAGGATTGTTGTGAATTCGAGACCAGCCTGGGCTAAAAGTGAGCTCAAGGCTAGTCTGAACTCCATAGCAAGACCCTGTCTTAAAAAGACAAAAAAAAAAAAAAAAAGAATGCACTGACTTGAGCTGGCTGTGGTGGTGCATGCCTGTAATCCCAACACTCAGGAGGCTGAGACAGGAGGATCACTGCAAGTTCGAGACCAGCCTGGGCTACAAAGTGAGCTCAAGGCCAGTCTGAACTACATAGTGAGACTCTGTCTCAAAAGGACCAAAAATAAATACATAAATGAATAAATAAATAAAACAAAAGAATGCACTAAGGATCATCCTATGGGCAACAATGGACATCTTCATGAAAAATAACACTGAGATTGAATCCTTTTACCTGCAATCTTGTTCCTATATTCTACAATTTAGATGGTCTTGAATGCTGTTTGTTCAACTTACACATTCTTTGCTGCTAGATTCACTCCAAAGTATCTCAGTGTTGTTTTTCTGGCTAATGCACATGAGTATCTTTCTCTTAGATGACATTTTTATGAAAACAATTTGTCACTGCCACATAGTTACTTGGGTGAATTTTTACATGTTCATCTCATATAGCACTTTTGTTAAATGGCCTTAAAAACCCTAATAATTTGAAGATTGATGCTTTGGCGGTGTATATATGTCATCACAGTAAGGAGATACTTCACAACTGTCCCGCCTGGAACCAGACCCTGTGTAAGGGACACCAAGTCAGCTTGATATCTATGCATGGCTGCAGCAAATACCTTTGGTGTGGTCTCTATGAATTAGGTGGAGGAGCATGTTTTAAAGTCAGTGGACAGATGGAGTGTAATTCAGGGGTAGAGCACTTTCTTTTTTGTAGCGTTTTCTTTCTTTTTTTGTTGAGGTTTTACATTTATTAAAGGTAGGAAAAGAAACATGTTCTGTGGAACAAGTGTGGGCCAATTAAAAGTAGTAAGAGAGATACACTGCAGGGCAAGAGCAGACTGCTGTGAAAAGAGAGCACAGTGGCCCATGAAGCATTTTTAAGGCCTTGGGTTTAATTTCCAGCATGGCAAAAAACAAAACAAAACAAAAAAACCCAGTAAACAATAATCAAACAAAAACAGTGTCACCATCACCCCTACCTGTCGACAGCATCATACTTACCCTCCCGGCACTGGGAACAGAGAAAGCAGGCCCGCTCCAGGTTGGGGTGAGCCATGAAGGTTCCAGGTTCACATGGTGCACATTTGGCAATGCTATGGTTTTCGTGGCAGGGTTTTGTGGCAAAGTGGCCTGCATGAGAATGGAGAGAAGTGACACGGGGCCTAGGGCTGCTCTGCTCCAACAAAGTCCAAAACTGGGAACTGCTACTGGCTGTCCCTTCCCTAAAACACGTGGTGACCAGGCAACCTACACAGTACCTGCTCCCAGGCTCCCGCCCTCCTTGGAAGCTTCTGAACCTGCACCCTGCCGTAGTCTTCAAGCTAAACCTGTTGCTCAGGTGTCCTCAGGAACTTAGGCATGCAGTACCCTTGGATTTGAACAATGCCCTGCGGTATGAACTGGCAGAGAGGATTTTGAGCCTGTTTGTTGCACCATCTTCAGCTCTCTCTTGAGGTTCCTACCTGCCCCAAACAGGTTTCACAGAGGAATCTTAAAGCTCTAGAAAGGGAGGTGTCAGGCAAAGGCCCCAGGCAGTGTTCCTGCTCTACTACTCTCCTGTAAGGGCTTTCCCAGTAGCAGGGGAGAGACCAGCCAAACTGAATATGCACACTCTCAGCACTGCAGGCATTGCACACACATAATGAGTTCAGCAGAGTTCAGGTCAGGCCAGTGATGTCTCCTCTGTTCCTGATCAGTGGTGTGTGCATTGTGCAAGAGTGTGTAGATGTGTGAGGAGTAGTAACAGGATGAAACACATGAGGGCGACAATAAGCCACCTCTTTGCTAAGAGCCTCCTGTACTTAGCCATATCTGGGTTCCTTCCGAAAGGAGGGATGGTGGGTAGAAACCTCTGACTGGACCCCTCACAGGTGTCCTCCAACTCTGTAGAACACTCCCCAGTCCCCTGCAAGACAAGCATCTTCCCTTTTCTGTTGAAGACCACTACATAGTGGCTCTGAGCCTGATTTAAATTAACCAATTGGTTTTCCATGTTTACTTGTGAGTCTGTCCAAGGCCTAGGCCCCTTGCCTGGAGATGGGCAGTGGGCTCATAATAAGTGAAACTCTATGAGTCACTGGTCCCGACTGAGGCCTGTAATGGCAGGTGAAGACCTGAGCCTCAAAAGAGAAGACAAGGCCACAGCTAAGGACACCTGGCTCCAACCTCAATTAATTAGATAAAGACTGTAGCTGCAGGCATCTCTCCTGGGTAGAGACCTTGCTGGAGATAACATAGTTCTCCTAAATTAACTTAATGTCTTACTTGGAGAAGTCCTTGAGTGGTTCCCACATTTCTTTAGTATTCCCCTCCCTTGTTTTGATAATTGAACAAATACAGGCAGCCCAGAGAAGATCTTTGTCTTAGCCCCCAGAGGAGCTCAAATTCTGTTAGAGGGTTTTGATCTTCCTGGAGCCCTAAAATCATACCACTTGATTCATTTATTTAAGCCTTTGCTGCCCACTCCTTTGGGAGATTGTGGGCCTGATCAGTCCACAATAACTAAGGGATACTATTAACCCGATACTTCTCTGTTCATATGGGAGGTCCTGCAAATGAGGTGCAGGGAAACAAATGGGTCATAGTGACTGCCACACTGTGCATGCCCAGGACATCTCCAGCTCTGTCCTAGCTAAAGACCTGTGGTGTTGCTTCTCCAGGTGAGAAGGGCAGCCCCTGAAAGGCTCTAGAAGGTGTTCTGAACTCACCAGCTGGGCAGCACTGGCAGCAGAGGTCATCAGACAAGCACTTGCCTGGATTACAAGGGGTCATATTGGTTGCTATGGTTACCTGGAACCAGAAGAGACACTGGCATTATCAAAAGATGCCCACATTCGGGGCTGGGGATTTAGCTCAGCGGCAAAAGCGCCTGCCTGGCAAGCGCAAGGTTGTGAGTTCGGTTCCCGGTACCGAAGAAAAAAACAAAACAAAAAAAACAAAAACAAAAACAAAAAAAACCAAAAAGATGCCCACATTCTTTGGAAGTTACTGTCCCTGCCCTAGATGGGCAGATCTAAGCACAGAGGAAGTGGGTGGGCGCTAAATGATATCTTGGTTCCCTTGGGGTAGCCTTTGCTGGGAAGTGCTCACTGTAATATTTTCTCATATACTTCCTTTGCAGTCTGACTTGCACTAGGAACAGGTCTTACCTTGGGGAACACATTTCCCAGTTTTCCAATACCTGTGCTTTTGCTGATATCTTTTTTTTTTTTTCTGCTGCTATCTCAATTTGCATGCATAGAACTATATCTGACATGGTTGTGAGCCTTTGGATTGAACATTTTTCTATTCCAGGATGTGATTTTCCCATTAACTGCATATACATCTTGTTAAGGAAGTATATTATTTAAAGTGTGGTGGTGCATGCCTGTAATCCTAGCACCCTAGGAAGCTGAGGCAGGAGGATATCAAATCCTAGCTTAGCCTAGGCAATTTTAAAATAAAAAAAAAAGGACAAAATGGCTGGGGATGTAGCTCAGTGTGAAGACCCTGAGTTCAATCCCCATTACTGTAAGATGAGGAAGTAAGAGGAGGGGGAGCAGGAGGAAGAGGAAGGGGAAAGGAAGAAAAAGAAGAGGAAAGTATCTATGAATGGGAAACTAAGATATATGTGATTGTATATGTATCTGCACATACATACAAAATCTATTAATTATGTGGTACTTTTATCTTGTTTACTGGAAATTGAACCCAGGGCCTTGCTCATGCTAGGTAGGTACTCCGTTCCTCAGCTACATCCCCAGCCCTGTCTTTTCTCCTTTCTTCCTTCTTTCCCTCCCTCCCTCTCTTTCATTTTCTTTCTTTCTTTCTTTTTTGTTTTGTTTTGAACTTGTGGTACTACTGATTTAGACTCCTGAGTAGCTGGAATTACCTATGTGGGCCACTGGGTCCAGTCCTGATACTTTTATCCTTATTGGTTTTTTTTTTTCTTTTTTGCCTAATGTTCTGGATTTTGACATACATCAAAATTTCCTACTAAATTTGTAGATATAAAGGTTTCATCATGTAAGTGTGTTAAATTTTGCCTTTTATATTTTAAGGCTGTATTATTGAATTATTTTACTTTTTTTTAAACCCAATATCCTTATTATTCATGTGTCTGTGAATCATCCCACTTGCTAAAATGTGTTTGTAACTATAAAATCAGTGGCACTTTTACAGCCATTTGCTAATATGCAGAGTGGCCAGAAGATTTGAGTCATCCAAGACATTCCCACTGAGGCTGAACAAGGTGACACTCTGCTTTCATGTTTAGTTTCTAACTTTAAAAGTACTGTCCATTTTGGAAGGCTGAGGCAGGAAGATCACAAGGTCAAGTGCCTGGGCAATTAACTCAGGGAAGCTCTGTCAAAATAAAAATATTAAACAGGTCAAGGTATGTAGCTCAATTTGAAGGTTCTGATTCAGTCTTGAGGTGATATTTTGAAGTTGCAAAAACAAAAAGTGTTTGTTTTGTGGTCTATTGAGTGTCGTGTGATTTGACATTTTTCTTGGTAATTTTGCTATTTGAAACAGTTCCCAAGCATAGGTATGAAGAGCTGTCTTGTGTCCCAAGCCTGGGAAGACTGTGAAGCACCTTACAGAGAAAAAACTTGTGTTAGAGGAGCTAATTGATGGGCTGATATGAATTATAGCTCTATTGGCACTATTTTGGTAACTTTGTTAAAGATGGCAGTTATTTCAAAATAAAAGCTTAAAACTTAACCCCACACACACTTTTTTTGGTACTGAGAATCAAACTTAGGACATCACACTTGCCAGGCAGGTGTTATTCTGCTGAGCTATATCCCTGGCCCAAAACCTTTTTAAAAAGAAAAAAAAAAATAATAATAATAAAGCTCAGAGAAGAAGGGCACAGCTTTTCACTCCCACTGAACTCTGCCCAGTCAGGAAGCCACAGAGGCTGCTTCCTCCAGAGGACTGACTGAGTTTTACCACCTTGAAGACAGTGAGGTGCCAGGGAAGGGTGCAGAATGCCAGCACAGTGAGCAGACCTGAAGGGAAGGTGGGGTGCAGAGTTAGGGCGGCTCTTTTGCAGGTTGAGGGATTGCGCCAAGCACCCTGGGGTGCCTGATCACACTTCCACACCTTCTCACTTGAGATCAGCACTGGGCCAACCACATATCATCTACTGGCTGCTTTTGTCGATTTTGTTTTGTTTTGGTGCCGGAAATTGAACTCATGACCTTGCACTTGCCAGGCAGACTCTGTGCTGGCTGCTTTTGGACACACATAGTTTCCGTGACAATTCTAGGAAATGATTACTGGGACAGTGTTAGTGATAATCAGAAAACAGTGATTCAATGATTAATTGGTTAAGCTATTTCTGTGTGCAAGCTATACAGTAGAGGCAGCTTAGAGTAGATTTGTAGCAAGATCTGGCTTATAAAGCAACCCCCCATCCTTTGTATTCACTGTCCCCTGGCTCACAGATGGGAACCATGTGGTCACCACCCACATCTAAAACACATTTGGAAGTAGCCCTGGGAGACCTGGTGCCATCACTGGCCCAGCCCCAACTGCTCCACTTTGTTGTTCCATCTGTTGGAACAAGGATGGCAGGATAGAGGTGGTGTGATGCCTCAGGACTGTGGGACCTGCCCATGAACTCACAGTGTCCAGAAGCTGGTGAGGGAGTGTCCAGATTACCGGCCTGCCAGCCTAGCTCCCTCCCTTGTCCTCGAGCTCCCTCCCTTGTCCTCGAGCTCCCTCCCTTGTCCTAGAGCTACAACAGGGCAGCATTCTCACCTGCACTACAAGGAGCAGCAGCAGCAGCAGTAATCGCGGTCTGGCCATCAAACTAATCCGTATCCAAACGTGCCTGGGCAAAAGCTAAGGCAAAAGCTAAGGGCAAAAGCTAAGGCAAAAGCTAAGTGGCAGTCTACTTTAGCAGTCCTAAGTTAGAAGGGGAAGGCACTTGCAGGAAGCTCTGCTCCACCCTCTTCCTGTGGCAGCCTTGCTCATTGGGTCTTGAGGTTTGCACAATCCTTGAGTTCCATTACGTGGGTGTGGTTAGTGCCTGGGAACTAGGTATGGGGGAGCGGGAAAGGAAGGATGGGAAAAAGAAAAAATGAGAAACGAAGGATAAAATGGAGACAAAGCTTTGTAAACTAGCAGGGGAAGAGGGTTGAAGACAGGGTAGGGGAATGGGGAAAAAAAGAGGAGTCAAGGTATATGATGAAAATTCTGTATGATGAATGTGAACATTGTATATACCTAAATTGTACCAATAAACAATTAAATTTTAAAAAATAGTATTGAAGGGGAATTAAAATTTTAAATAAAAGCCTGCCAAGAATGCCCGCCAAAACCAAGTGGACGTGTCTGGACAAATCCAATAGGCGACATTCCCACCCTGTCTGGTGTAACCTGTGCTTGTTTAACTTGATGGTCTTGCATTATCACCTGAGGTGCTTAAAATTCCTTGGCAACTCCTAATGTCACCCAACCCTCCAAACATAATTCACCAAATCAGTACCTCCTGCTTGCTCTCCCCATACAAGCCCCCAAATGCCGCCAGGTGGGCTCTGACTCTTTCAGAGTGATCCCAGTCAGGCCCACTGGTGCAATAAATTGTCTCATAGACCTCCTCAGTGTTGCATCTTCCTGTGTTTGATCTGTTTTGCTATAACACTACCACTACTCTGGAGGTAGCACCACAGTTTCACTTTCCCCCATCAATAGAATTATCTCATGATGTAATTTCACTCCCAAAGAAAATGAAAGCATGCTTTTTTTGTGTGTGTGCCAGGAATCAAACTCAAGACCTTGCACTTGCCAGGCAGGCACTTATGTTGCTGAGCTATATCCCCTGCCTTGAAAGTATGCTCTTGTAACACATTTGTTAACTCATGTTATCCACAATTTTATTCATGCAAGCCTAAGGCAGTGTTTTGGTGATTTTTTTTCCTTGCTGAGACAAAATACCTAACACCTAAAGTTAAAGGTGGAAAGATCTATTCAGCTCACAGTTTGTAGAAGTTTCAGTCCATAGCCAGCTGGCTCCAAGGCCAGGTGGTATAACAGAGGGCCATCGGAGAGAAGAAACAGTCCATGGCAAAGCAGGACTGCCAAAAGACATCCAGCAGTAAAGTAGCAAGCAGCAAGCAATGACACCAGCAGCCCTCTTTCTGTCCCTTATAGTCTATCCAGGCTACCTGCTTTAGGATGGTAGCACTCACACCCAGGGAGGGCTTTCCCATGATCCACTCCCAGAACCTATGCCAGACAATCGGGGACTAATTAGTAACCACATGCCCTTGATCCCAGCATCTCATACTCTAGATCGAGCCACCTCTGAAAAGTTCCACCTTCGACCACATGAGGTGTTGGGGGACCATTTAGACACAAGCCATTACAGGCAGACACAGCCCTAGTGTCCATGGATGGATAACTGCATGAACCGAATGTGGCCGGGCAGACAATGGAATATGATTCCGCCACAAAAAGGAAGGAAATTCTGACACATGGCAGAATATGGATGGACAGTGAGGGCTTTAGGCTGAGAGGAATAAGTCAGCCACAAAAGGCCAAATCCTGATGATTCCACGTCTGTGAGGTCCCCAGAAGAATCACACCCCATAGAGACAGACAGTAAAATGTCAGGGGCTGGGGAGTCAGTGTTTAAAATAGGGCTGCCTCGGTCCAGGTCACCGCTGCCTGAGCGCTTTCCGGCTCAGCAGCCTGGAGCAAAAAAAAAAAAAAGACAGAAAAGGATTAAAAAAAAAAACAAAACAAAACGGAAAATGCTTCAAAACCTTAAAAAGAAAAGAAAAGAAAAGAAAAAGCGAGTCCTGAGCCCGCGAGGAAGTCATTTGCAAACGCTTCCACCCCTGGGCGCCCTGCCAGCTGTGCCCGCGCCTTCCTGGAGCAGCACCACGGGGCACCCGCCCGACCCGATCATCGGCCAGCCGCACAGCCTGTCCACGCTGCGCTTCGCCGCCGCGTCGGCACCCACAAAGATTTTGTTTCCCTTTACCCTAGCTGCTGCAATCTTAAACCGCCGGGAACCCAGGGCCTCTACTGATCGAGAAACAACACGGGCCGCATCTGGCTGCCTCTGGAAGAATTTTTTTGCCTCCCCTTCAGTAGGGGATTTCCCCATTTGCCTTCGCCCCACCCCTTTTTGTAATTTGGAGCTTCGAGCCAGGAGAGGTGGAAATAACAAACTCCTTGGGAGGGCCATATTGTTTTTGAGAGCCTTTGTCTGGGGCTCCGTGTCCAGTGTGAGCAGACCTCGAGTTTCCCGTGCTGCCTAGAGCCCCTCCCCCAACTGTATCTCCTCCCCCCCCCGCGCCCCTCCCCCGCTCGCATCGCCTGTGCCACCTGTGAGCAGTCTGGGGCCCCGGCTCTGCAATGAGCCCTTTTTGCCCTGCGGTGGCCTCTGTGAGAAGTCCTCCTGGTGCAGCTCAGGGCGATGGCAGGGGAGATGGACGCTGCAGCCAGCAGCTACGCTATGGTCTCTCTCTAAGTGGACGACCTGTAGTCCGATGTCACCGAGGTCATGCTCTACGAAAAATTCAGTCGCGCGGGACCTATGCTGTCCATCCGGGTCTGCCAAGATATGATCGTCCGCTGCTCCCTGGGTTACGCCTACCATCACCTTCCAGCTGCCAGCTGACGCTGACCAGCCCTTGGACACCATGAACTTTGATGTGATTAAAGGAAAGCCAATTCGTATCATGTGGTCTCAGAGGGATCCTTCTTTGAGAAAATCTAATGTGGGAAATGTCTTTATCAAGAACCTGGACAATATAGATAACAGGGCACTTTATGATACCTTCTCTGCTTTTGGAAACATTCTGTCCTGCAAGGTGGTGTGTGATGAGAATGGCTCTAAGGGTAATGTCTTTGTCCACTTCGAGACCCAAGAGGGTGTCGACAATGACCACAAAGTGTCTGTAGGCAGATTCAAGTCCTGCAAAGAGTGGAGGGCTGAGCTTGGAGCCAGTGCCAAAGAATTCGCCAGTGTTTATATCAAGAACTTCCTAGAAGAGGTGGATGATGAGAGTTTCAAAGAGCTATTCAGTTTGGTAAGACCCTAAGTGTCAAGGTGATGAGAGATCCCAGTGGGAAATCCAAAGGCTTTGGCTTTCTGAATTACAAAAAACACGAAGATGGCGGTAAGGCAGGGGAAGAGATGAACGGAAAAGAAATCAGCGGGAAAGTGGTATTTGTAGGCTGTGCACAGAAGAAAGCAGAACAGCAGGCTGAATTAGAATAAAAATTCGAGCAGCTGAAACAGGAGAGAATTAGTCAATACCAGGGAGTAACTCTTTACATTAAGAATTTGAATGGCACCATGGATGATGAGAAATTAAAAGGATTTTCTCCCTTTGGATCAATCACCAGTGCTAAGGTAATGCTGGAGGATAGAAGGAGCAAAGGGTTTGGTTTGTCTCTCATCTCCTGAAGAGGCAACCAAAGCAGTCCCTGAAATGAATGGGCACATTGTGGGTTTCAACCCACTCTGTGTTGCCCTCGCTCAAAGGAAGGAGGAGAGAAAGGCTTATCTAACCAACCAGTACATGCAGCGGGTGGCTGGAATGAGCGCACTCCCTGCCAAAGCCATTATAAACCAGTTCCGGTCTGCAGCTGGCGGCTGCTTTGGGCCAGCAGTTCCACAGGTTCAGGGAAGATGTCTCTATTACACACCTAACCAGCTGGCACAGATGAGACCTAATACACCCTGGCCGCAAGGTGGGAGGCCTCAAGGCTTCTAAGGAATGCCAAGTGCTATATGCCAACCTGGGGCTCATCCAACTCTTCACTGTCTGGCTCCAACTGGTAATGCTCCAGCCTCTCATGGCCTCCCTACTGCCACACAGAGAGTCTGGTCTGAGTGCCTGGGCCCCTTGACTATGGACTTTGGTGGGGCTTGTGCTGCCCAGCAAGGGCTGACTAATGGCTGCCAGTCTGGAGGTGTTTCCAAAGCGGTGCTACCATACAAGTTTGTCTCCAGCTTCTGCAGCTTGCACCCTGCCATACGTCCTCTGCAGCTGGGCATGGTGGCACGCACCGGTAATCCCAGCACTCAGGAGGCTGAGGCAGGAGGACCGTTGCGAGTTTGAGACCAGCCTGGGCTACAGAGTGAGCTCAAGGCCAGCCTGAACTGCATAGCAAGACCCTGTCTCAAAAAAAGACAAAAAAAAAGAATAGTTAAGACAGTTTTAAAAAACTTATGAAATTCTTTAAGTATGTTTAGTTTGGCTGAAGATGCAACTCAGTGGTAGAGCTGAAGCCCTGGGTACCATCCCTCCTGTTTTTGCCCTTCTCTCCAATTCTGTCTTGAACTCATGGCCCTTCCGATCCTGTCTTAGTTACTTTTCTCATTGCTGAGACAAGGCACCCAACACACAAAGTTAAAAGAGGAAAGGTTTATTTTATCTCACAGTGTGTGGTGGTTTCAGCCCATAGTCAGATAAAGAATGATAGGGCAACCAGGGGAGGGAGTGAGGAGAGGTTTCATTTACAGTTTAAGTGAATTTAAGTGAGTTCTCTTAAAAATGGAGTTACAGAAAAGAAAAATGGAGTCTCTCTTGCCCTATCATTACCTGACCAGTTTGTCTTCTCTGTGGGGACAAATAAATTTAAATTGCAGGTTTCAGGTAGTGTGTCCCAGCATTGGGAAAGCTGACTGATCCAGAGGTACTTGTGTTTGTACAGTAACTGCATATCTGGGGCAGGTGATGTGTTTCAGTTGTCCATCAGGAAACCAATCAGAGGACATGAAGTTGACAATTGTCCCTCCACATGTTTTGGCTCATGGTGACTTCTTTTCCTTCTATGATTGTCTGTCCATCCATCCATCCACCTGTCTGTCTGTCTATCTCTTTAAATGTCAGCAGGAGCTCCTGTGTTATACTCACTGGCCC